TATGTATGTATGTATGTATGTATGTATGTATGTATGTATGTATGTATGTATGTTGTGGCTCCGATTCCTGAGCCTGCATTGTTAGAGGAAGAGGACTTGGAAGATGAAGAGGAGGAATTGGGAATGCCTTCCTCCCGAGGACCTTTCTCTCTGGCAATGCCTTCCTCCCTGATAATACCTCAGGTTTCAGCAGACAACCGAGAGAAACAGCCTGAGATTAATCAGGAGGAGGAGGGCATATCGGAGAAGCCCCTGACAGGGAGTCAAGTGGACAAATGATCCTCGGCAGCGTCATAGGAAGAAATGTGAGCTGCAACATAGGAGGTGTGGGTGAATCAGAGAGTGAGCTGAGTCATTGAGACACATCCCACAGGGGATAAAAGTGGGTGTGTTTTCTCTGGAAACTTTGTACGGGACAAAGTTTTGCTTTTCTTTCAGGCTTCGGTATGATTATTTCTTGTGGTCTGCGTTGGAAGCTTTAGTGATTAATTCTTCTTGTTATCATTTTTGGACTTGGCAGGCAGCATGTGTTAGAATGGCAAGAACATTATCTGTATAAAGGAATTAACTCTGTAAAGACCGAGTCTTCTTGCCTGCCTGTATTTGTTTGAGTTTGGACTCTTCATCTTTCTTGGAAAGGAGAAAGGTGAGACATAACATTTTTGTCCCGTATCAGACAAAGATGGACCACCACCACCACCAGCAGCAGCAGCAGCAGTTTCAACAACAGCTGCAAACTGAAAATCAAACTCTGCAACAGCAAGTGGCTCAATTAACAGCCCAACTTGCTTTGCTGCAGGCTCATGCAGCTCCTCCTGCCCCTCCCCGTCGGAAATGCCCGGTGGCTGTGCCAGATAAGTTTTCTGGGCAGCCTGAGATGTTCCCGGCTTTCATGGGACAGTGCCAGTTATTTATGGCTATGAGGCCAGAGGATTTCCCAGATGACCGGGCTCGGGTGGGGTTTGTGATAAGCCTCCTTTCTGGCTCGGCCGCCAGATGGGCCACACCTTTGTTGCTCCAGAACAGCCCGTTATTAACAGATTACCAGGATTTTTGGCAACACATGTACCACATGTATGAAGACCCCATACGAGTGCAGACGGCAGCCAGGTGTCTTAAGGACCTTCGCCAAGGGAAGCGCCCCCTGCAGGAATTTATTTCCGAATTTCGGCTTGTATGTCTGGACTCCAACTGGAATGACACAGCCTTAATGGACGCCTTCCAGGATGGCCTGTCAGATGAGCTGCAGGATGAGTTAGTTCAAGTCGAACCAGCCCCGACCCTCGATGCTCTGGTGGTGCAATGCTTGCGCATCAATGCACGACTCCAATGGCGAAAGACCCGTCGCACCGTCCAGGAGCAGCCATCCACATCTGTACCGCAGTGCCCTGTGCAACCAGCGCCCCGGGTCACCCAACGTGTCGTGGCAATGGCCGAGGAACCAATGGAGTTGGGAGCGGTCAGACCTCGCCTGACGGCCCAGGAGCAAACGTGGAGATGCCAAGGAGGTTTGTGCTTGTATTGTGGGGGGGGGGGGCAGGACATTTTGCTATTTCTTGTCCTATAAAGTGAAGGGGGGCACTCAAGCCTGTGCCTGAATCTTGGCCTGATCAGTCGGGAAACAAGGCAGGCCCGACCTGGGGGGAAACCCTCGGCCGGGCACGTATCAAACGCCCACCTGAATTAGCGGAGGTTGACTCTGGGCCCCCTCGGCATCTGCTTTTGGACACTTGGCTTTTCTTGGCTAACCAATCAGAAGGGATTTCAGCGACTGTGCTGGTGGACTCGGGGGCCACGACTAACTTTATGGACCAGGCCTTTGCGGCCCATTTTGATGTCCCCTTGGTTCCGGTAGACCCTCCAATGAGGGTCGAGACTATTGATGGGTGGGAACTTATTGCAGGACCCATTAAATTCACTACCCAGCCTTTGCATCTGGTCATTGGAGACCATGAGGAGGTGATCCGCTTTTATGTCACCGCAGACCTCCATTTCCCATTAGTCCTTGGCATGGCTTGGCTTCGGATTCATGATCCTCAGGTGGCATGGTCGCGGAACGCCATTTCTTTTCCGAGTCTGCAGTGCATGAACCACTTACGCCACACCTGTGGTGGCCAGGACATCCCCACCCCTGCCGTCTCCATACCTTCTGAACTGTCGGACTTCTCAGATGTGTTCAGCGAGAAGGATGCGGACCGGTTACTCCCGCATCAGCCCTATGATTGCCCAGTGGACCTTCTGCCCAATGTACCACTGCCAAAGGGACATTTGTACTCCATGTCTGAGCCCGAGCTGGCCGCCCTACGGGACGTTTTGGACAAAAACTTGGCCCGAGGGTTCATCCGGCCTTCGTCATCCCCTCTCTCAGCCCCAGTTCTCTTTGTCAAGAAGAAGACAGGAGACTTTCGCTTGTGCTGCAATTACCGCCCGTTAAACGCCATCACGGTGCAGAATAGCTATCCCTTGCCACTCATTCCGGAGTTGTTGGAG